TAATTATAGTAAAGTCTGCAATCGCTATATAATTTTCAAGGACAAATGGTTAGATTTTTGAAAATGTGAAAATTAATATGTTTTTTTTTGTATTCTAATATATCTCAAAGAGTACCTATATTATACTTACTTAGATTTAAACATATTTTACTTTTAATTATTTACTTATGTTATAAATTGTAATTTTATTAGCAACAAATTGTTATCGTGCTTAGAGCGTAGCGTGTCCAAACGACGAGACTCTGGCGATGTGATTGTGTACGATTTAGATTATTTATTGGAAAGTGTGAACGACGCTTGCAACTCTCTACAGCAGTAATTAACAAATCAATAATCGTTCATCTCAGAATATTGTATAACTGAAAACAATGTTTATTAGGTTATCGAATTACGATGAGCGAAATTTAGGCGTAAAATCGGGGTTCGATCATTTGCTTTTTGAGTCCCGTTTCGAATGTGGTAATCTTCGGAAAGCTATTAAGGTGAGTAATCTCATATTTTACCGTCGAGGTAATTTCGGGATTTTGTGCTTACTATAATACTTGATGTTTTATTTAGATTGGTTCCAACGAGTATGATTTGATTTTGAATTCAGACGTAAATTCAATGTCACATAGCCAATGGTTTTACTTTCAAGTACGATTATAAATTTTAATATATTTCAATAATTCTAATTTGTATCCATGATAACATTACCAATACTTTATTGATTTTGTAATATTATTTACCATTTGTTATAGCTATATTTAATATCACGTGCTATTTCATTCTTGATATTATTTTTAGCTCTAAATAAACTTCTATTTTACTTTCCAAGTCTAAAATAACTAAGAAAATTTGAGATTGGTTTCATTTTTTTAACGTGTATTTTAGTAAATCGAAAATACTTATTACTACACTTTTAAAATATATAACTCTTCATACATTATATTGGACTTAAAAATTTAAAAATTTAAATGTATTTATTTAAAGTGCATGCCTTGTTCGTCATTCATGCTATCTTACTTACAAGTTCTTATTTTTTTTCATAAAATAAACGTCAACACAACATTTTTCGTCTTAACCATGATATAAGATAGTTTAGATAAAACAGTTAGTTTAAGTGGTACCTATAAAATACAATTTTTTTAAAAAAGCTCTCGAAGTATAACTGCCAATTGTATCAATTTTATTTTAAATATTATTATGACTTTAGAAATAGATAGGTACCTACTTTTTTAATGAATTAACAATAATATTTAACTTACATGGTATTACCTTAAATATTCCAAGAATAAGTTGTAATAAGTATCGTTTTTACATTTTTTTCTCTTAATGGAATACAATAATATTATTTTCATATTAACCCTGATTTATGACATTATTTAGTCATACACGTAGTTACGTTTAACAGCAGACAGCTACTGTAGTCTATTTATGCATCTAATTCAAACGAAGTACAGTTGTACAAGTAGTACAAATAATTTTATATTAAGATTCGATTTTATTTTATTATTTCGAACTAATTCGGTGATTAGTTAGATGAGCTATTTATTTATTTTAAAGCACATAAAATCAACTTAAATTTTAATCCATCAATAGTTAGGTTTAAACCTTCAATTAATTTGACTATTGAATATTTTCTTTAACACAGGTATCCAACATGGAGGCGGCCAAGCCATATGTATTTAATATAGTGAACATGGAGAAACACAACTCTCAGTACAAAACTGGCATGCAGCCGATCATGTTTTCGGTAAAAAACTATACAGAGTTCAAGAATGGCTGGACACGCACCGGGATGGACATTTGTTACTATCGGAATTGTTACAAGAACTGCAATAAGACTCACGGCTCTTACATGACAGCTACTTTTTCAATTCAATTTCCACACGACAGAGACATATGCTACATAGCATACGTTTATCCGTATACATATTCAAAGTTGTTGGTAAATGCATTCAATTAACTGTATAGAGTATAACTAGCGACCCATTTTCACCAAGTACCCATTAAAAAAAATAAATTTTTAACGAACTCAAGAAATAGATACTTTAATTAATTCAAAATTATCATTTAATTTACATTGAGGGTATACCTTAAAAATTCCAAGAATAAGTTTTAAGTATCATTTTTATGTATATATATAATATATTTTTTTTAATGGTATAGGTATATATTTTGTTACTACTGGAAATGTTCAAAGGCCTGCAATAAGACCAACAGCTCTTACATGACCACTACTTTGTCAAATCAAATCCCACACGAACTGAGACATAATACATGTTACATAGCATATGTTTATCCGTGTACCCATGTTCAAAGTTAATTTCCCCGTTATGTAATTAAAAATATAGGCCGTAGTAGATATCTACAAATTACGATCTATTTTCTGTTCGGCTATTGACTTAAAATCATTAATATTGTCGACTGACTCGAAGTACAAAAATCCCATTACATGGGAAATACAATGGTATTTGTAACTGTAAGCTGTAATTGACTTAACTGCAGTTTTTCCAATCTTAAAAATTGTGTAATTGAAGATGAGAAAAAAAAATCATACAAACTAGAGTACAATCATACAAAATTGCATAGAACTTTGTAAAAAAAAAAGTTTTACTGCCTTTTTGCGGAAGGCAGATTAAAATTTATAAATATATAATATCAAGTCCTTTATGCAGTGGAAAAAAAACCAGAATCAAATTAAAGGTCATCCGGCTGAAAGATTTAGTGTACCTTATTGTCAGCGTATATATAATACATACATACAATAAACTCATATATATATATATTTATAAGAAGGGCTGTTATGTACTTCAATCTCTCTCGTAAATTTTAATTTTAAACACGGCTTGTTATATTTTTTTTTTCAGTACAAATGCTTCAAATGGAAAAATTCAGTTGATCCGACTACTACATTATTCCGTGCAAACAGTTTGTGCCGGTCATTGAATAACAACGAAGTGCCAATTATTACGATTACCTCTATTGAAACCAACGAAAAAAAAATTAAAGTAACTTCATTACTTTGCACATCTATAGGACATAATTTATGAATTTTGAAATATTTTATTGTATTTGGGTAGTTCAGTCAAACTCAATAAAATGCTAGAACGTCATAATATAATAACTAAAGGTATCATATTATACTGTCCATTATAATAGCTCACTAAAAATGAATCAGTATTAAATTGTTCATTTGTAAATTTATTTTCAAAGCAAAAGTTATTGTATTTTCCTTATGATAGTATCACATTTTTTAATTCATCCAACTATAATCATATGGATCATATGGAAGTCAAAATATAATACTGAGATATTTCATTTTTAGTATTCTTTCGTCGAATAAAAACTTATTTTTGTGCTATAATGTGTTTAATGAAAAATAGCTGTGATATATAGAGTTATAGCAGTAATGCATATCATAATGTGTGGGTATTACAGGTAAAATATTTTAATCAATACTTTTTTTTTTTTAATTGTTTATGGCATCAACTACAAGGTTATTAGCTGGAGGTACTGTAGGGTTTGGAACTGTAGGGTTTTTTTTTTTTGGAACTGTAGGGTTTGGAACACGTGCGTGTTAATCAATACTGTTATATTTCAGTAAGTATATTATGACGTTTTTAAAGAAAACATATGTACACATTACAGTCAAATTTTAAAATACGGCAGTCTCGTATTCACTAAAGAAATTTAAAAACACTACAATTCTACATTTTTGAGTTTTAAATAGTATTTCTATAATAATTCTTTTACGATAAAATTTGTTTAAAGTAAGCTTGTAAGTAAGTATTTAGTTTTTAATTTCAAATACGTATGTGAAAAACTTTTTATAATATTTTTGTCCTAAACTTAAATTTGTTTCAAAGCTATACATTTTGAGTTGTAGTGGTCTTGTATATAGGTGTGTGACATATTTTATTCGTGATGAACTATATTGTTAAAAACATTTATCATTATATCTCGGAGAAAATTACTTAAAATTCTATTGTTATTAATAATAAGTTCACTTAAATGCAAATAATAACTATAATATAATTAAGGTGAAAAATTCAAAAATATATACAAATAATAAATATCCTAGTTAAAAATGATACTCAATATACTAATTGCTAGGTACTGTATAATATTTTGAGCTAAATACGTGAATTATCATAACTAATTAATTTTTTCAAATTATCTTTTAACATTAAAGAAACGGCAGAACGATTTATGAATCAATTCAAATTTATTGCACTAATTCGTCTAGTATAATATTATTATTTATCCGCACAAGAATTAATAACACACACAGTATTTTTGTAGCGTTTTTAAAATGTGTTTTAACTTATATTAATGATTCTCATTAATTCGTCGGCGTATTGATGTCCATATTATGACTATATTAGTAAGTAAGTGTAACGTTGTCTTGTATTTTTCAGGACCGACATATTATATACTTGACATCACGTGTGCATCCCGGTGAAACAAGTTCATCTTGGGTAATCGACGGTGTGATTGATTACCTTTGTGGAAACACACTCACCGCCAAAAAGGCACGGGACACTTACGTGTTTAAGATTGTGCCTATGCTCAACATAGAAGGCGTCATCAACGGATGGTAAGTGTACAAAAATACAATTTATTTTTATTTTCAATCACTTGATTTATTCAAAATGATTACCATTAAATATTAAAGTACATTTTTAGTTAGTCTAAGAGAGGATCTATAAAAATTAATATATACAAAATAAAATAATAATCGATAGACACAAAAGAATATAATAAGCAAAAACGATAAAAAAAGTGATCTGTCTTTTTACTTATTATTTTCTTTTATATTATACCGACATGATTTGTTCATTATTTTCATTACTTTTCTAAATAAAATTATTAAAAATGTATAGGTAGGTAATCACATGAAATTAAATGTACCACCTTACTCCACAGAATTAAGCGCTGAGAACAGATTTTTATAATTATACATGACTAAATTAAAATGCATAATATCGTAGTGTAATTCACTTCAGATAATGATGACGTGTAGGGAGAAACTCGGGAGAGAGCAATGTTTGTACGAAGTTTAGGTTTGTGGTTGATTTTTGATTTCCATATGCAATACGTAATTATTCTGTTTTTTTAAAAAAAAATTTCTTCAAATAAACATGATATTTTGAACGTAAGACTCGCCGATTGTTATGGAACTAAGCGACTTCCTGTGATGACTTTTTCAACACTGGTTTTTGTAACATTATGTCTTTGGCCCACGACCACGGTAACTGTAGATCACCGGCAGCTGCGGCAGCGTCTTTGGGCTGTTCCAAGTCCTTGGTGGATCTAATCTTGTGCGGCACTGCAGTGGCAAAAGCTTTTTCCAGCGATTCGAAAGCGTACGCATTGTTGTGCTGCTGCAGTTGATCTCGACGACCTATTTCTTGGTTGCCGCGCTGTTGAACATCGTCTCGTTGATTATGTTTATGCAGCTGTTGGTCGTGCTCCTGTTGTTCGTGCTGTTGTTGATTGTGCATCTGGATGAGCGTCGGAAGTTCGGTGGTATAATACTGACTCTCCGCTCGTGGTTCACTGGTCGACTGTTGTTCGTCGGTTTGCGACTCTTGATATCCACTTTGCAGTGGTTCGATCGTGCTAGCAGACGGCGAGTCATCTACCACCGGACCTGACGTCGTGGCGACCGTCAGTTCGGGTTCCGGTTCCGCAGCCCTAGGAGCGTCGTTTTCGTGGCCGTCGTCGAAACCCGACTTCCGCTGGAAGTCAGTGACCGCGTAGTTCTCTGCGGCAGCAGCGGTGGAGGTCGTGGGCATAACAGTAGGCGAAGCTGGCGTGGTTGTGGTAGAGGTTGTGGTGGAATTGGTGGCTGCGATGGTAGTAGTTGTGGTGGGATTCATGGTAGTAGTGGTAGTAGTAGTAGTAGTTGTCGGAGTGGTAGTGTTTTCCTCCAAAGATATGTTTGAGTGAATTGGGATTGCCGCAGCTTTTTGTTTATAACCAAAACTGAAAAAAAAATGCACAACATTGTAATGAGCACGTTATGGGCACCTTATCTATGTGAATACATGTAAATGTGCGATTTTACGTTGACAACTTTAGTGACATTAAATCCTAACTAGAAAGCGGGACTCAAAAACAAATATCGAATATCAGTGGCGACGAATATTATAATAGTATGCGGTCCGAATCTGAGATAAATTTAGCTATTAAATTAAATTACGACTTTTTGATTAAAAAACTAGTTAGCCCAAAAATCTATTACATAAAATTATGTTATCGTCGCCTTTTAAGTTTGGAAATTCATACGTGTTCCTCTGAATCAATTATCTACCGGTGTTTACTGTTCGGATGGCTTTGGAATAATTGGTTTTCGATACGCACTTTATCGTTATAAAAAAAAAAATGACTATGGTGGTATCCTTTACCACAGTGTGATCATAAAAAGCAACATATTTAAAGTTCTATATTTTATGTTTTTCCTATGTATTTAAGGTATTTTTATTTTGTACGAATTAATTTATTGAAAAAATACTTTGTTTGCAACATATTAAAAATCAATTTAAATATTATATGGATGTTGTAATAAGTTATCAAATTATTTTTGTAATCGTCTTCAAACATTTTTTTTCCTATTTATATGACAAACCAAAAAATTCTTATCTTATGAGATATATATTTTATCGTAAAAAAACAAAGTAACGTAGTAACAAAACTTGTTTGAAAAAATAATATTTCTGGATCTCATGACAGCTTTTATAATTAAAGTTCTATACTTTTACGAGTATACAAGCCTGTCACTAGATGGTATTGAGGTCATTCTTGAATTCATAAAACGAAAAACTTGAAATCCAATAATCATACATATATTATTTCTTTTCCAAAATGATAAACACAAACAAGATCGCTATACCTACGTAAAAAAATAAAATATTACTTTTGTATGTACCTCCTAATATACCTGCATGCCATATACCATATCATTTGCGTACATGACACATGTCTATAAAAACGTTCGTCATATTATAATTATATAGTAAAAGAAAAAAAACGAAAAGCTTTCGAATATTATGTTCAATATTGGTGCGATATCGATTTTTCGGAATTTGCCGAGGATTTATACACGTATATTAGAAATACATTTCGACCAAGTCTCGTCTAATAATTCTCACCTGTAGCTTACCCCTGGCTGGAGGACACCGGAATCGACCCGTAGTTGTAATAATAACACCTGGTCTGTTCGCAAATGAAGTCCTTCAGATCGGTACAGTCAGCCGTCACCCAGTCCATGTTAGGCGCTTTGATCGCTACGCATCCGTCCCTGGAACCACTTTCGCCCCTGAAAAAAAGGGCAAAACGTCATTATTATTTGTGTGTTATTGTCATATTGTTATTGTGTATATCGCATTTCGGCGTCCCGGTGGTGGTAGCCGGTATAAGTATATAAATTTCACACGACCACGAAACGCACCTCTTTTTCCTGGCTATGGGCAGTTCCGGCCTAGCGTTCATTTTCAAGTCTTCGTTGTCCAGACCGTTATTGTCCGGGTTCGGCCGTTTCATTTGGCTGAAAGTCGTGTTGAACGGCAGACCAGTAGACATCCAGATGAGCATATCGGTGCCCAAGCGGTTTCCAGACGTCCAATAGTCGAATTTGTTGTAACCTTAGAACAATAACAGCAAAAATGTTTTTTTTTTACTAATTCATCGGACAGTTTCTATATTTTGACGTTTCATTCATTTGTTTATTTTTTTCACACGCGATTGTCATTGTCTCTTGTTTACCATAGAGTTTCATTTGGAATATAGATAGGTACCGAGAGAAATTGAATTTTCATTTATATGATTCATGTTTTAAACTACGTTTGCGAGATATTTTGTGTATAGTTTTATATTAGGTACATTATAATAATATTACGCTGTTGTTAATATAAGAATATTTCTTATGCGTTTGCAGTTTATTAATTTAATTTTCTCAGCTTTAAACTGTAAGTTTCTATACACGTCACATGTTCTTACAAATAAATTTCTCCAAATTAAAATCCATTCATATTAATTGATATTTTTATGGTATTTCGTATGTGTGTAACATAATATTAATACATAGATAATATTATTATAAACAAGAGTACAAAACTAAAAAACAATTAATTATACCTTGTAAACTAAGATTAAATAACACATGGATAGTGAATATATTATTTTTCGTTTAATTGTTTCATACTCTGGGCAAAAAAAAAAGTTTTAACTATATTTTATGTTGGTATCCTTCATTCTATACCATGTGTTCGTTCTGTACATTTAAATTAACAACTAGATGTGTCCTATATAGTTCAAATAAATTGTTTAACGTTAGTTCATTTCATTGTTTTCAATAATTTCATTTTGAATGTTGTTTTTTATATTATTTATTACTGCTTAAAATCCATTAATCTCGTTTTGTTGTCTTAAAATCGAATGTTTACATAACTGTTGGTCGTTGAAACATAGTTAGATATATTATTTGTTTGCAAAAGCCAGGTATCTATTTACACAGCGCATTAACTTAGTTATTTGCTTTTAAACTGACTCAAATTATAGTGTTTCTCAACCATATTTTAATAAAAAAAATCATTCTTACCAGCATTTCTTAAGAAATCTGATATAGAGTTTGTTTTTTCCAACGTTTCAAATGAAGCCAATTGCAATCCAATTGATCTGCAATATTCATATGCCAAAAAGTAGTTTAATTCCGCTGAATATGGATTCATCCTGCTGATGTAGTACTGAGTGCCATCCAACTGTATTGTTGTAATTCTTTGACCTAAACATAAATTAATATACTAAAAAAACAATTGATATAAAAAATAATTTTCACTTTAAATATATCATATATTATATCCACCTATTTTACCTACGGTTGATAGTTATGCATAATATGTGCCAACTAAGCTAATGCCAATGATTTAAAACAATGTGAGGTTATTTCAAATCATATAATTATTGTTGATACACAATATCGTTTGGTTATAGAATTTTGTAAATCTCTATTTTATATAATATATTCGCATTATTTAATTAGATACCTAAGAGAAGTATAATATTTTTATTTTTCAGGACTGATATCATTTTTTATAACAAATTTATGTCTATTTTTAATTTTCTAACGACCTAACCTTAGTATTTTCATTCAAATCATTTTGGTTTTTAATTTCTATAAAATATAATATTCAACAGTGAAATTATATAATAAATGATAATCATGATATAAGATGGTCTCGACAGTAAAATTATTAAAACGCAAAAACTCATATTTTTGACACCCGATGTGGTTTTGTTTTTAACTAATGGCTCATCATGTTTTTTATTTGTTTTTGTTCTGACTATAATTGCTTATAGTCCAAGTACGTCCTTGGCCAATGTCCGACTATTAATCCTTTCTGAAGGGCAAATCGCGTTTTGTCTTCTTCAGACTATCGCACAAAAAGTATTATGCACAGCTTGGTGTTAGAGACAAATTATTATTTTTTTTACATCTGCAAAATAAAAACTTTACCAGACTGTGTGTCGGTCCCTGTCGTAAAATAATTTATTACTTGCATTGGCAAAGCCTATTATTCTCCACGTCCAAATTGCCAATAATATTTAATAGGCTACGGGTTGGAATTGTAAAAAAATAAATACATGGTCAGTATGTGAATAGATTGTTCCATCTTACAGCCATACCTATCTTTGTTGTTAATTTAATAAACTTATTTTTTAACTTTTATATTTTATGTTTTTTTTAACTGTTAATAACATTTTATACATTTATATAGAAAAAACTTTAAACTAAGCTAAAAAATAATTGGCTAATGATTTAATAAAATGTGAAAAAAAACTATTCGCTTAAGAAAATGAAATGAAATCTTTTTTTAATATTACATGCGTAATGTATTTTTATACTTTAACATGCATCACTTTTAGTGGCAATAAAATGAGAATGTAACTGCAACACATTGATAACTTTATCAGTTAATAAGCCTCATTTTATTACATTTGATATTATTTACAAAAACCAGAAATAAGTGTTCTTACCGCAGCCGAGAATGAACGAGGAATGGATACATATTTATATATATTTCAAGTATTCAAAATATCAAGTATGACTTACAATATTGTAAAAAGTTTCGATTTTCAATATTTTGTTTGTCACATAACGTTACATAACGATATAAAAAAAACTGAACAGAATAAAAGATTCATAATGAAATAATTACTTGCTACTTAATTGTGATAATAACAAGATATATTTATGTATTCGATAAGAGGATGGATGCACTGCATGTACCCTAAAGATATTAATATGCTGTTTAATTCGACCACAGGGTCTTAAATACAATATCATACATACTTATATCATTAATAATAATAAAAAATGAATACAATACAGTTGTATTATTATATTTGTGACAGTATTACATTTTAAAAATCCTACCCAACAGGTATCACTATAACATGCAGTACATCATTCATTATTTTATACAAATAAAACTAAATCATTATACCTAGTATATTTTAATTTGTTTTTTTATATGAGTATTCTTTTTAAAATACGTGATTATAATATAACAGACCACTGAATGAGATGAAAAATGATTATTTAAAAAATAGCCTTTTGGCTATTGTATTCATAATCGAATACAAATTATTTTAAAACTGAAACCCGGTTGTTTGGTTAATTAACTTTTTATTAACTTTGAAATTAAGGTGTTGTAATGATCTCATATAAATATAACCCCTATAGAATATTATAATATTATTTTATTTTTAATTTCTATACCCGTCATACTTTGAATACTGTTGTAGGCACTTCGTACAGGCCATTAAAATAAATTGGAAACGTTATTAATTTATTATGTGGATAGGTATTAGGTACCTACGAACTTTTCGAAAATAATAAACATTTTGAAGATATTCTTTTGTGCTGAGGCTAAGATAGAGACAAACAATTGTAATGGTTCTAAACGTTATATTCTTCGAAGGTCACGAGCCCTCGCAGCATTGTCTTCAGTACCTAACGTTTCACTACACATGAATTACACGAAGTTGGTGCTATTATTTAATTAAAACGTTATTATTATTATTATTATTATTATTACTGTTGTTCTTATAACTATTGCTGGATGTGAATTAATTTTTAACGACGGTACATATGCATAAATATATTAAGAATAATAACAAAAGTAACGAAAAATTAGTCACCCATCACACGCGATTCGCTTCTTTGACTTTTACTTCATACCCCGTCGTTGTACATTACATGCCTACATAGGATGTGGTTTTTTGTTTCTGCATAATATACGTCATAATGATGTTAAAATAACCCTAACGGCTTAACAACTGACGGTGTGTAATGCATACAAAGGGAGCTCAGAACGAACTAACTATATTCCATCTTGTGTTTAAATACATATTTTTTTATTAAAACATACGATTATATAAATATTATAACTAAATGCATTGACAATCGTCACTCATCAGTGTTTTTTATACAACATCGAGATGCATAGATATGAATATAAATTTGAAAAACGACGTATACTTTTAGACTTTAGTGCACTCTGTATAAACGATCGTGTATTCATATGGCTTCCGTTTTCAAGAAGACTTATTTTTGTGTAAACATACTAAACAGGAAGTTCTGTGGAACAGTGTAGAGTTAAATTTTTCAGTTTTTAACATAACCTTCAGCGAGGTTATGTTATGGTGTAGGTATTTAAACGTTACCTAGCAGTTAAAAACTAAACAGAATATTTAAGAGTTTACACTAAATTATATATCTTGCTTATGGTATTTACAATGTCCCCGTACACCAACAATACGCTACATAAAATATTTAAAACTAGACAAACATTATTGTAAGTAGATAGTAAATACTAGATGGTATCTTTATTAGTGTTGTATGTATTTAATTTTAAATAATACAAAACTTTATGATTTCAAATTAACTATGAATGTAATCGACGGACAATTAAAAAATATCCACTATTAAAGTCCTCAGCACAAGTATGCACTACAAGTGGAGAGTAATAGCAATAATAGGAAAAATAAAGATGTTTATCGGTTAAATAGTTGTTATTCATGAAAAAAATGATATTTTACCGGAGCTTAAACAATGTAATCAGAACAGGTAGTAGGTACGTGGTTATAGTCTTACAGTAATTAATAATTGTAAAGCAATGTTGAGCTTTCGAACAAATTTGTATTAATACGAGATTTAGAATTTACACACTCAAGAATTAAGACTAATATAATAGTATTTATGATCAACAAAGCTCTCTTTCCTTTATATACAATATTATACATAGATAAATAATACCGGATAATATATTCTAAACGATTGTCGCAAGGTAAAATTGCTGTCACGGGAAAGCTAGAAAAAATTATACCCCCTTAGAGAGACTTCTTAAAGCAAATTATGCCCATAGACACACTAACAAACTATAGGTGTACAAATACTTATAATAGATATATGTAGTTCGTACCCATATATATTTATCACCCCATGGTATTGTGCGACAAAAATAGAACTACACCGGGGGTGCGCGCAAAATGCGACAATAAAATAAACTTATCAATAAGCATGTCGGATATGGGATAACACAATATTACGGTATATAGCGTTATTACGATAATTATTATTATACAATATAATATACTGACCTGCCGCAAACCATGCAAATACTGTGACCACGGTCAAAGCGACCCGCATTGTACTGGTGGCAATCATGACGGTTTTGCAGTGTGTCTATAGTTGGGACGGCTACTGTATTATTATAATATTATTTTCGAGGTTTTGCTAGTCGAAAATATTATAATATAATAAGAATAATGATAATAATAATAATATTCAGCTCCTCCAGGAGTGCGTGCGGCAGTATTACGCGTTTGTGCGGGCGGGCGAACACTGCAGTCGCGTGTAATACAATAAATATTATATTATACACGGTCGTCGTCCGTGAGTGGTGTGGTCCGGCAGAAGTGTGCGCGTGTGTGTTTATACGGTCGTGTGCGACGGTTAACTGCGCTTGAAGACACGCTGGCCCGCATGCGAGTGTGGACGTTACCCCCTCCTCCCACCCCGCGTGAGCTTAAGTCAGTCGAGTGTTCGGGTATGTGTGTATGTGTGTAAGTATACCTTGGAGGTTGTAAATGTATATTTTTGTGTTTGTGTGTGTGTGTGTGTGTGTGTGTGTGTGTAAGAAGCGCAATGCCCCCAAACTGACGCCGCGCGGCACAGCCCTGTCGTGTGATGATGATGGTCTCGCCTATTGTTCGTTCCGGCCAAACCCTCACGACGTACACATACCCACTCATATCATAATAATATAATAGTCGGGTGGAAAAAAAATGAAGAAAACCATTGCTTTACACGCGTCGCCGTGGTGTTCTGCGTGGGCGGTAGACCTCAGGGGCGCTATACTTCGCTCTACACGGGGTCTCAATTTTTGTTCGAGGGTTCTCTTTTCTTGTCGAAATGTATTATTATAATAAATGGTCGGTCGTTTCGAAAATGTGATTTATTTTGTCCACGATGACCATCGTCAAAGTCACCACAACACCACGGAACCGAATATACCAGGTTTTTTTTACCCGGAATGCGTGTTATTTAAATTATTTCAATAACGCGCCTTCTGGGTACTTGGAAAAAGGTTTATTTTGAATAACTCGATTAACAAAAATATTAATGTGAGTGTGTGTTCTAGTTTTGGTAGCAAAAAATAATTTGAACAGTTTTTAAAGGTTATTTTAAAATGATATCAAATAACCAATAATTATTTTAACCACTAACAACCTATGAATTCGCTATTTGGAGATCAGTGGAAAATTGTTTAAGGCGGGGATGGTGAAAAATGTGTGGATCAAGAAAAAAGGTTCTAGCCATCTACACTGCAGTACACCCCACACGCTTGGACATCGCAACCTATGTACGAATTATTATTATAGTTCATACACCTCTCCTAAGACATTAATCAAATATAATATGCGAATAAAAATATTTCTTTCGATATATATTTTTTTTTTTATCCAATCAATACGATGTTATTAATACTTCGTTTTTTAAGAGGGATTTGGTTTTTACTCGAAGTGAACGTTTTACGATCTAGTTTTTTTTATTGGTTTTAAGGAATTTAAACTATTTTTGGTACACCGTTAAGGAAATTTACACCCCTTTTTTAAATATGAAATACCTCAGTCATAATAATATTGTCGTCTTATTTCATTTTAGTTTAGCCCAAGCCACACGAGCCGTTTCGTCGTCATTGGTTTCGGTAGTTTTTTTTTCTTTGAACAATTACTGTCAAACATCAATATTCATTGAATGTTTTTCGTAATAATTATATAGCCAAGACTCCAAGAGTTACTTAAACGTGACCTGGGAAACGTTATATTTCTGTCCACTCACATATAATATAAGTTATATAATTATATTATATATGCGACGTGAAAAAATCCTTACTTTATGTTTATGGAAAAATTAAACTGGGAATGAAATGAGCACCAGTTGTGTATAGAGATTCAATTTGTTTGAACCATTGTTCACATTGTAACAACTAAATCAGACGGAATGTAATATTTAATTAGTTTTTACGTTTACGATTTTTTATCTCCTACCATTGTAAATTATTATTAAAATAACAAACGATGCAAACAAGAATCGGTATAATTAGTATAGGGTACTGCAGTGTTACTCTAAAGCACATACAATTATTAATTAGTGTAAATTGCACGATATGAGTATATGACAATCTACATGTATTCGATTTCTCATATTGTTGTCATATCCGTATTGAATATTATTTTTTTTAAGGTATAATATATTATAAATTAAACACAAATGTACTATAATACATAATAAACTATAGTGATATATTTTAGGACTGATATGAATTTTAAACAGGATAACAAATAATTTCTTATTCAATTTTAAGTCAATTCATTTCAGAGTTAATAAATTATTTTCATTTATACTCGTGTTAATTATTAATGATATTGGCAGGGGGTGGAGCGTTTCACTACAGATTATCGAAATGATTAAGCGTGAATACCACTGCTCTCCCATATAAACCAACGAATTTGAATGTCAAATAATTTAATATTGTTAAATTAATAGGAGACAATCGTTCAACGTTTTAATGAAATATTGGACATTTTTCGTTTTTTGACTATCACCATTAATAATATCAATCGTATACAATTATTTATACAAATAAATACGCCGCAAATGCGAAAAGTTCCGATACTCATCAATCGCATTACTTACGCATATATTAGTATACTACCTTGTGCACATATACCATGCGAACCACATCGTATGGGAAAATAATACCGAGAACGCATACAGAAAAAAAAATTATAATAATAAATAAATGAAGAAAGCCACACACTCGGCTCACAATGGGCCGGTATTTATTTGTTTATATATTTTTCATTGCACCCCGCGTATTATAATAACGTGTGCAGTTGTGTGTACTTACATTTTTTTTTAACAAGTTCCTATATTATTATAATATGTGTGCATACGACCTGAGGATAGCCGTCCCAGTGACTGCGATACCTACCGAACGCGTGTGCGTGCATATTGTACGCACACACACACACACACACACACACACATACACACACACATACATATTATGTGTACTGGAGCGTATATACACCTATGTGCGCGGGTATAGTTCTTAGAGAGAGATAAGTGCGCATTGTTCTAAACACACACGGACACATATAACCGGGTAATTAGCATCGTCGCGTTACATCATCGTGCGGGTATAAATTACTCTTCTATATTATGTATAAGATGTATTATACATATTATAGAACATATGTGTGTCTGTGTGTGTGTGTGTGTGTGTGTGTGTGTGTGTGTGTGTGTGTGTGTGTGTGTGTGTGTGTGTGCCTAGGTACATACACCTAATATTATACTGCCTCGTGTGCGTCCACGAGCGGCCATCCACCGCCGGTTCGGCGACCTTTTCGACGTATTTCGTGTCCAGCGATTTTTTTCGCTCTTCCCCTCACCCAACCAACAGCCTCTCATTCTGCGTTTTCCTCATTCTCACGAATGTGCCTCCCACCATCGTTTATAATAAACTAATATAAGTAATGATTGTTTATTTACATTCATATAATATATTACATCCGTATAATAGGTGATAGTTATAACTTATAAGTCTATTAACCGTGTATATAATGGTCCGCTCGACGATCTACAGTGTCATCAGCCGAACGCACATGGTCGTGAAGTGTAGATAGTTATGTGAGGTATGCATGTATGCGGACCACGAGTGTCGCTCCCAATTGCTGGTTTTCAGTGGTGAAAACTGCAATCTCTGAAATATTTTGGAAAGACCCTCAGAAATATTACCAATAATTTAAAATTTATAATTAACTAACTCATTATTGCTCGAACTTGACATTTTCGGTATAATATGGTAGTTATTCTTATTCATATATATTTAGTCCTTTAGAAGAATTTTTATTTTTTACAGTTCCTAAGGTTAGTAAAATAATGCACCTTCAAAATATTAACCGCAAGACACAAAATAACCTTTGATAATATCATTCTATATAAATTATCTAATTATAAGACTATAAAAAAACTAACTAAAATTATGAGGATGGAGGTGGGCACAAACGCATCAAACCTAACCACTAGATAGATCCCACCCATCTCGACTAAAGCGACAAACCCGGGTCCTATGTTAATATAATTATTATCACCGATTATCGTTTGCTATTATGCGCAATTTAACTTTGCCTGAAAAAAAATAATAACCATCGCTGTAACAGTTTAACGGTGCTGTAGCAGGTGTATTGCGTGCTGGTTGATTATACACGTACAGCGTGTGCTTGTCGATCGATGACTCTTTATTTGTATAATTTGTGCGCATATCGGCTGGTTTATAATACTATTAATAATAATATAACGGAATCACTAACGAGCGAATAGGTACGAAAAATATATAATATTATATTCAATTATGAAAATAAAATAAAATATTTATCTGTTTCCGTGTTATCGTCATAATAATATTATGACTCGCTATATTATAATATTGTATTGCACCATTCGTGTTTCAAGATTATACGTGTACCTCACGCGATTTCATCCATCTCGTTTATATTGTATACCTAATCGTAGTATAGTCAGCCAATTGTCTAGTTCTAGTAGGTATAAACCATTGCTTTACGAATAATTTATTTCAATAAACATCTCTTATATTTTGACATAACTGTGTTATGATACGCTGCTCTTATTTTGTTTTCATAATAGGTAATATTTCCTCGCCATTTAAACTTTCGACAATCGTAAAAAATTAATATAGTTTTAAATAAACTCTAGAAAAGACTAACCTTTAAGCGTATAAGGTATAACTAGGTACCATATTATTTTGTACCCATTTTATTTTACATCGTTTTCATAGGTTCGAAATTCTAACAATACTATTCTTTGTCCATGGGCTTATAGTTATAGTTATATTTTTTTAAATTTAATATTTAGTGCGTAAGTATAAAGTAGAATTAACGGTACTAATATGATAATTTTTTATTGAATATATTTTAAGTTGTACATTTATGACATAATATATTTTGAAAGTGTAGTAAAAAGTGTTTTTGATTTAGTAAAACTCACATTTTTATTTTTATTTTACCATTACCAGTTTGAAACCGAATTGCAATTTTACATACATTCTGACTTAGGAAAAATAAAAGCTTTATTGTAACATACAAATACAGTTTTTTTAATGAGAATAGATAATACGAGTTGGTGAAATAAAACAACGAAATCAGTAATTAAATATGATGATGCATATAAATTGAAATTCATAAAAATATTTAAATTTAAAATTTACTTGAAAGTAAAACCATTGACTTTGTGAAATGGATTTCACGTCAGCATTCAAAATCAAGCCATACTAGTTGGTACCGATTTAAAGAACAGTACCTATTGAGGTAACTGATAAGTAAAAAAGTCACGAAAATGTCATGACTTTAAATAGGTTCTTACCCTAATAGCTTTCCG